TCACTGCTGGACACCCTTTTTTATTTGCTATCCCTTCCCAAAGGTTTCTTGGTCTGCCTTAGCTGGTTTCAGCATGGTTTTGGCAACATCAGTGTGATAGCTGATCCTAGCTGGAAATTAAAATTGCATCAAGGTGCAACTTTGCTCTGAGTTCTGCCTACCTATCTGTAAATGTTGGTTCTAGCCCCAGAATAATCACAGAAGTGATGTGCTGGCAGTGCTGGGGCAATGGAGAGTTGGGAAGGCTCAGACCTGTGTTCATAGATGGATGAAAATACAGGTGCAAGCCCCCTTTGCTGGGAAGAGTTCACCATTCCAAAAATGCACATCAGGCTTTGTGCTGACTCCACTCTGTCCCACCCCAAAACCAAGTTCTGGCTGACTTTCTGCCACAGAGTATTTTCTTTGCTGCTTGGGATTATATGGCACATTTCAATTCGTCAGTCATCATTTTTTAGTTTTGTTTTTGTTGCTGTTGTTGCACAGCGAATTTAATTTTTCCCATTTGTTGGCATTTTTTTTTTAATAACCAGCTAGGGTAAAAACTCAAAGTTTGTTGCCAGACAAGAGAAGACAACATAGTGGTGTGAGGTTTTTTTATGCATTTTCAAAATATTCATAGAAAATGTTAGTTAGCTGAAGAAAAAAAAGATTTCAGTATCTCTTGACATTGGCTATTGCTCGGCATTTTCTATGCAAAGAAGAAAATTTGGAAATGCTTTCCACTGGTGAAGTTTGTGGGTAGCTCTCTAAATATTGCAAGTTGCAGGATAGTGTCCCCTAACAGGCTTTCCTCATTTCTTCAGCAGTGAGGGGAATCTCAGAGTGATTCTACCTGGCACAAGATTTGTTTGTTTATTTTTATTCTTGTGGGAGGTATTTCTACCGTATTCAGCTCATTGTGGCAGTTATTACCCCATGTGTTTTTGGAAATGCTGCAGCTTTCAGACTGTGTTCAGGAATCAGTTTAGTTTTAGGGTTCTTTCTTTTCCCTGACATCCCTCCTGATGAAACATGCTGTTCGTGAGCCCTGGAGCATCACTCCCAAATCTGGAAGCAGTTTCTGGTAGTACAAGTGTCATATTCCACCCAAGCCTCCATTCATCTGCTGCTGATGCCGTGAGAGGAGAGTGAGGGAGCTTTGTGTTTCACATCCACAGCCCATCTCCAGTTCTGGGGAGAGATTGGATTTACCCCCTGCAAATCTACATGGAGGGAGCTGATAATGCTTTCTCCTGTGGCTGTGCATGGGGAAGGGCAAGAGAATCAGGAAAGACTCTCTAGAAGGAGAAAATATTCTTAATTGGCATTTTAGGGGTGTGCTGTATCAGCAGAAATACTGCATTGTAGTGTGGAGAGCAGGGCTGTTTTACAGGAGGACCAAATCACTGATTGTTGGAGTCAGAAGTCATGGCTGCTAATCTTAATACCAGTAAATTCTCCCTTGGAATTACCACTAGCTTTAAATCAAGGTAATTACATGCAGGACACCAAGCTAGTTAGACAGCACTTTATTTATTTACTTAAAGTTGCTTTATGAGAGCTCCTCTGTGTCTCCTCAGCACAACCGGCAATCTTTTCCAAGGCATTCTGTTGGAAAGAATTGTCACTAGCAAAGAAACTGTTCAGCTTTTTTTTCTATAGTTACCCCTGGTAACTGGCTGGTCAGCCTCAGGGATTTTTGTAAGAACCAGCTGAGTGACGGTCACACAGTTTTGCAGGAGGAGTTGGTACAAGGAGAGCACATGAGTTGTTGAGAAACTCATAAACTTCTTTCATCTAGTAAATATATGGCTGTAGGCATTTGTAGGCTATTTAAGTATTGGCTTCCATGTAATTTTAATAGTATATGGGAAAACAAATGAGGATCAGACTGAATGTGATCTAGCTTGCCAGTGAGGATCTAGCTGAGTACATCTTCATGAAACACTTCATTAATTGGTTCACAAAATGGACCTGACCAAGTGTTGTGTGTTGTTACACTAAGGGATCTATCAGGATTAAAAGAATTTGTGATGAGTTAATGTAGGAATTGAGTGCTTGCATGAAGTTTTCCATTTTTACTTTTTACCTAACCATCCAAATCCATGAAGAAGAATAAATCAGACAATGAATTTCTAACCCATTCTTTATATATTTCTTATGTCTTTGTGTATGGAAATGCCATTTTCTTCTGCAGTTTCCAGATTAATATAGAGTTTTAGGACATACAATGACAAAATTTACCATTGCTTCTCCCAGTCAGTTTTGTCTAGAGACCAGGATTGCATCTTCTAAATTCTGCATTATTGTTTCCCCTCTATTGAGATGTGCAACTCTGGAAGTCAGAGAAGCTTTTAGAAGTCACTGGAAGCTTTTATCAGGAAGAAGGTGTTTTTTCAAGTTACTACTTGAAAGGAAATATGTTTTTTGCATTTTAGATACTATTAAAGAACAGCACAACACCCATCTGAACCAGAAGTCTCCTGTAACCAGTGTGAAAACCTCCCTTGTAAGGACTTCTGAAATGTTTGAGCATGGAAGAGTAGTCTGAAGGAGATGAGGAAAGTGGAATGAGGGAGAGAACTGAAAAATGATTCTTAACTTCATAGATTTGATCCTGGTGATATCAGGTTGTCCCATGGCTGAGGCACCTGCCTGTTGTGGGGGACAGTGAACAATTCATTGCCACCCATGTCCTGTTGGGATGCCTGGGAGGGCAAGCTGGACCTGCAGGGCAGATGTAGAGAGGGCGAACTTCCACCAAGCTGTGGGTCCATTGCCTGGATGTGTTTTGTAGATGAAACTGAGTTTGGACTGAATTAATCAATTTCAGAGTGACTGCAATCATGTTTTCAAGGAGCTTGTCCTGAAAGAATAAATAATATATAATTATTATAATAATATTATTTATCATATATAAAATATATCACTTAAGTTTGCCCCTGGGTGATTTGCCTCAGCCGCTTCTTGCCAAGTGATTTTCCTCAGGAATCGCACTCCCTTCAGCACCGTGCAGTGCAGATGCACGGCAAGCAGATCTGTCTCATCCCGGGAGATCCAGAATCTGTGGGAATTTCTGCTAACAAAAAATGAGAAGTGCACTTTTCCTTCTGAATTTTTATTGGTGTTTCCTTTTTATGGATGCAAACCTTGCTGCAGAGTTGCCTGCCTAGGGCCTTGTGCACTCAATAAAGGACTGACTGATTTTTCTTTGTCTATGTGATTGAGGACTTTGTTCAGAGCTAAGAAATATGTAACACTGGATTATGTTCTTTCTGTAAGATTAGTAAAGATAGTTTGTTTATTGATGTAGATAAAACAATGCTATTGTTTTCTTTTAAAGAGGAGTATAACTGCAGGGGGAAACATTTTTCTCACATAGATGGCAGAGCAGCTCAGTCCTGGCAGTATAGCATTGCGCATATATCCATACAGAACACAAATATGTGTGCACAAAAATGTGGAAAATATGTTTATTTATGTTTCTTTATAGCACAATCTTATTTTAATACTGTACACCTGTGTCTCCTTCTGCACATTGTAATTAACAGTAAAAATAATGCCTTCAGAGCTGATTTTTTTTTTTATTTGTAAAGTGGTGTCCAAAATTAAACAGCAGTTAGAGGAGGATGATGAAATAATACAAATAGCTTAACTCAGCTGATTCATAGGCACTGTCCCTCATTTTTTGTTTCCTGTTCTTCTGTTTACTTGGAACACCTATGCTCAGGCCATCTGGTTCTGGCAGCACTGACAACCCTTCAGGTTAACAAATAGAAGAAGAAGCTGCTACAGTGGCTACCTCTAATAAATCTGTCATTGTCAGGTGTTAAAATGTCCTAGCACATGCTGAGATTTATTTAATTTCTCGTTATCATTACTTCCATTCTGGAACGGAAAAAAAAATATAAAGGGGGTGTGGGGGGTGGTGAACACACAGAACAAAGTAAGCTCAGATTGCAGATAATAAATATTACAGTGTTGCTATGGAGTATTAATACTTCATTAGTTGATATTTATATAGAGGCTATTTTCTTTTATACAGTATTTTGTATAAATTCACTTCCTCTGCTTCAGGTTGATAAAGAAGTGGTTACTTAGGGAAGTGTGTGATCAGGCACTTGGAGCCTGTATGGCCAAGATGAGGAAAATTCTTTATTTTTGTGCTTGTAGGAAACAAATGTCAAAAGAAGAATATCCTTTAATTTTGATGTATGTATTTATTTTAAATACCTGTTGTGTTTAAGGTGTAAATCCACTGAGATTTGATTGACTAGAAAATGCCTATGAAACTGTTTACAAATAAAATGTTCCTTTTCATACTGAAAATTATTGCGTGACTCAAAAAAAAAACCCAAAAAAACAAACCAGCAAGATTAGCAATCAATTGATGGCCCTCTTTAAAAGCAGGTTTGTCTGAACTTGTAACATTGTAAATAATTACTCTTAGATCTAATGTGTTACACATGACATTTAGAAAACACTACTGCAAGACAATTTGAGAACAAATTAGATCAGAAGCAAGAAAGAACTGCGGGAAGGACTTTAATCAGCTTTCATTATTTATTCCTGTATTCTGAGAAGATTATAGATGCCAAATGGATGCCTTTAATCAAATAATGATTTAAATATTCAGATCTCACCATTTCAGTTAGATGCAGTGACCCAAATTTCAAGCATCCGAGGGGAAAACGCTGTGGTTTGTGCAGCTGATAGAAGAGCTCTGTTCCCACCCCCTGCTGCAATTAATTTAGCCATGATCCCTTGTTTGTTTTTTGTCACTTTTCTGGTTTTCAGAAGTTGCCCTGTCTGCTGTTCATTGTGTTTTAAGCTAAAGGAGATGATCCTTTTTATTTGTCTGTCTTTTTTTTTTTTTTTTTTTGGTACAGCTTCACTGCCTGGTGGCCAGGTGGCCATCATCTGCTCACAAATAAACACAGCTCTGGGTGTGGTAACTGAGGTTAACTGGGCAGAGGCAAAGGGAACTCACTCCTCTTCCTTGTGTCTTCTTTTGCAGTTAATCTGCTGGATTCAAAAACGATTCAAGGGGAGCTGGGCTGGATCTCCTACCCGTCACATGGGGTGAGTCCACTGGAGTGTGAAATGCAAAGTGCTGCTGCAGACCAATGTGCTATTTAACCATTGTTTCCTCTTCAGAGGACACTGTGCCATAAGGCTGGGGCTTTGGAGATGCAGAAATAAACTGCTCTGAGCTTGCAAAATATGGCTTACACAGGTGTGGGGCCTTCTCTTTAGAGGACCCATCCCACTGCAGATAAACCCTTGGAATGGCTCATTCCTTGGGGAGAAACATGAAAGCAAAAGGTGCACTGAGCAACAGAAGCAAAAAGTTCTCTTTATGTACTGCTCCTTCTCTGTCATAGAGTGTGTTTCTAAAAGAGATCATGGCTCTGCTTCATGGTGTTACTTGCTAATTTGCTCAGATGGAAGTGGTGGGAGGTGAAAGCTGTGTGGACATGAGTGGCTGATGTAAGTACTTATTTGTGACTTTTGTGCTGAATTATTGCTAAACTGTTCAAGTCATGAGTTAAAGTATTACTACAGAAATGTCTACATAATGTTCTGGAGGAGGTTATGGGTGTTTTGTTTACCTTGTATCCAGATCTAATGAAACTACGTGTTCTATTGGAAGATTTAGAAGTGCAGTCTTAAAGCACCTGTGCTTTCCCATTTGCTAACTACATCATTCCTACATGGCTTTTCCCAGCAAGCCTCTTTAAAAAAATTCTTGAATAACATCATATTGATGACTAAATGGTGCATATCTGTCTAGTGATGCTGATATGTGTTCACTCTCTCACTCCCCACCTCCATGTCTCCGTGGAATGTGTGTATGTGTGTAGGAACATCCCACCTCTCTCTTTCTGCGTTACATCATGCAGATATGCAGGATGACTCTTGCATTCCTGCATTCTGTTTCCCTCAAACACAAAAAACCCCACTTGGCAGTTGAACCCCCATGTCCAGAACCCCCATACCCTTGTTCTCAGAGAAGGCTGAGCCATCAAGTTTTTGCTTTGGGCAAGCTGTTGATTCACCTTCACCACTTTTACAGAATCAGTCTTAAGAGTGCCTTTGCATCTCTGCCTCATGGGATTCCTTTGCTAATGTTTAAGTTGTGCCTTCTTGATATTAGGCATCAAGCAGGTGTTTAGCAGTATTTAAGGATGAAGGTTTGGTTCATTTTTTGAGTTTATGCATGGATCTCTCTCCATGTCTCTGGATAAAATTGCTCCATTCTCATGGGAAAGAAGTGGGAAGAGGGTTCAGGTTTCCTCCTGGTGGCTTTTTCTGCTGACTTTTCCCAACAAGAAACATCTCTAAACAGGATGTCCAAGAGGGAACTCTCCAGCAATTTCTAGTTCATCAGTGTGGTTTTCTTGTTTTCACTTGCATTTTTTTTTTATGAAGCCTTTTTCTCCCAGCTCCCACTGCTCCTCTGCTTTGCTCTCCTGCTCTGCTCAGCTCCTTGCAGCTGTGCAGATCTGCTGCTCTGCTCCCTGCAGCTGTGTCTCTCCTGCCTTGGATGCCTCAAACAGTTGGTAGGGAATGATGCAGGGTATCATGGGGCCTATAAGGAAAACAGATGTGCTGCATTACCCCACCAAAAAGGGCCCCTGGATCTGTCAAGGTCAATTTTATTGGCTTTTGCAAGATTTTGTCAGGTAAATCCAGCCCAAGTTGTTGTTTGCGTGTGTTTGTACATGCTGTTCCTATTTACTGCCATATCCTCGGATATGGGAGCCAAAGTAAATCATGGAATTTCACTGATGTTCTTGCAAGTTAATGAAATTCCTCGTTAAAAATCGCGTGGCAGTAAATTAATGTAGATCATATGCTGTGACTGTTTTTGGAAGAGAACTGAGCCTCTAGACTGTAGTCTTCAAAATACCTTGAAATTTTAAGCTTTCATATTGAAAAATAAATGTAAAGTGCAGAAATAACAATGTTTATCCTATCCCAATTGGCATTTTGCTGTAAAATGGTGACAACTTGAGCATCGTGTGAGAGAGGCGCCTTCTTCTTACAGCCCTTTATTTATAGTCAATTAATTAAACCTGGTAAATATGGCTGTGTCTGTCTCTGAGCTAAAATATGAACTTAAACTTCAGTGGAAAAACATTATAATAAAGATGTCACATCATATTGAAAGATTGCTAATAGCAGAGCAGTGATTTAGAAGGTAAAGCTGATAGAGCTGCACTGGAGGCTGTGACTCACAAATGAGAATATTGGTGTCGTGCCAGTTCCACTCGAGCGTGCAGCAGTGTTCACATAAATGTCAGGACACCAAAGCTGGTGACTTACAGAGTTTTAAAAAATAATTTAACTGAAGTGTTTAACAAACCTCTTACTAGGTTAATAATTTTATCCTGTTGATACATGACATTGATTGATTTCTGGCAAAATGACCTGAATTGATTGGTTCCTCTTTATTTCTATAAGTTGTCTCGACTTGGGCATATATAATAATAGCTTTCCAGAAATTCCTGAATATTCATGTTAAGGTTTGTAGCTCATTGGTATTCAGGGGTTTGTGTGTCCCACATGAGCACGCTGTAATGGCAGTGATTTAGACTCTGGTGAGTAATATCACCCTGGAAGAATGTGATCTCCCCTGGAACCATCCCACACAGCCACAGCCTTGGCTCCGGGAACACTGATCTGGTCAAGCTCATTAAAACCCTGTCGGCACAAAGCACTGGCCCCTCCAGATAGCAAGGCACAAGAACTAAAAAATATAATAGCAGGTTTTGCTGATGCTTGAGCATGATTGGCAGCAGCCACAAGGCCCCTGTCCTGTGCCACCATCCTAGCACCTGCCCAGACAACCTTTTTGTGATGCCAATCAGTCAAACCCCAGCTCCATTTCTATAGGTTTCATTAAAAGGGAAAGAAAGAAGAGCTACTTACTCTGTGCAGAGTATATTATTGATATGCTGATTAAGCATAATGCAAATGATCATTAACCGTAATTCACATAAATTACAGCAGCACAGATGTGGGGGTTGGGAGGATAAAGCAAGTCACTTTAATAATATACAATAGAAATGTGATGGATAATTCATACAGAACAAAAGGAGTACAGTCAAACCCTGCTCTGCATATTCATGGGAGGAATTTTATTGGTTTCAGCATCATTTTTTAGGGAGAAAGATGTATCTGACTCCTGCTCCATGTGTTTTTTTTTTTTTCAAACTTCACAAAAAAAATCATTCGTGACATAATCTCAATCCATCGTTCTGCAGTCACGCAGCCTGTGACTCAATCTTTACGTGTTTATTAGTCAAATTTATGGACTTGAAATTTTTGGTCATGTTTTTTTCATGTAGTCAGAGAAAAGTAACAGAGAAATCACTCTTATCTTGTTTGGTTTGTGCTAGAGAAAGGAATGCTGTGGCATTTTTTTACTGTCATGTGAAAGATAATTGTTCAAAAAAGAAACCAAGCCAAGTCAGGGAAAACAAAACAGAAACAGCTCTAACAAAAAAAAAAAATGCCCAGCCTCAATGAGTTCTGTACATGGCTAAAGTTAGTAAAATGCAGACAAAATTTAACAGGCTGATTGGAAAAATAATGATTCTATTTCTGATCTTGACAGCTTTCTAAATCCCTGGGTTTCTTCAGAAACAGTAGATTTCTTTGAGAGCTGGCCATACTCAGTACCTTAAACTTTTGGACACATAGTTGGAAATCTGGTGTGGACAACTTGGCTTTTCCTTAGTGATCACTCTGATGGTCATTTGAACAAATCTAGCTGATCATGTCAGTAATGGAAAGTGGTTCATCAGTATTTGAGGAGAAAAGGGTAACATTCCCTGCTCCCCTAATGGCTGGTGTTGCGCCAGGCAGGCTAGAGCCTGCGTGACTGAGATTAATGAGAGTTTTTCCATCAACCAAAAATTGGGTTAGAATCAAAATAATCCAAGCAAAATTGAGGAAAATGCTTCCTTTCTTATATTTCAAAAGCCTGAAAGTAGTTTGTCACGTTAGGCTGCATTGCTGCCTACCCAGGCTGCTGGCAGCCTCCTTGGTTTCATTTGTTCTGCTTTCAATAGTTGGCTAATGTGTGGCCCTATAAAAACTTTTAGTTTCTTTATTTTAGGGGGGTATCATGGACAGAGTGACTGCAGAAGAACCTGAATTATATAGGTACTTGGATGTCTCTTGTGACTAGGTGAAGGTAGAGGAGAATTTGAGCAGGGTACAGCCTGGTTCTGATGAAGGTGCTCTCAAATAAATGTTATTCAGGAATCAGCTTCTCAGCCCACTGTGACTGGGAAGTTTCTCTGTTAATGCAGAAGACATTTTGAAGATTAATAAGTATTTCCATGAGGTTTGCTTTCCTGCAGCTTTGTGTCTTGCTGTTAATTGCATCCTGTTCTGCAGAAGGTTTGGGTTTGGTTTTTTCACTAGATCCTTAATGCCAGTGGGTTTCCTTGTGCCTTTCCTTCAGCCTTCCCCTCAGCTGGGCACAAAAAAACATGTAAAATTTTTCTTCCTTGCACAAATCTAACATTTTCACACCACTGCAGAATCAGGGCAGCTGAGCTGCCAAAAAACCTTGAAACTGGCCAACAAAAATACAAAAAATTATCAAACGCCTCATTTTATATTTTTTTATAATGCTGATTGACATCTTAGCCTGTGTTCATTTTTTATCTGACAACAAATTTGACAATTTATAAGCAGTACTGTATATAAAGTGGGCAGTGTTGCTGAAATCACTAAGTGGTTGTCAAAATGAGTTTCAAAGGGAACCAGTGATATCAAACAATTGGTTTGAGACAAAAGACTGAAACTTAAAGATATCTTTTTAAAAAAAAAATTAGGTCCTTGTTTTAAAAATGAAAACAATCATGTTATGCTGTATACTTTTGTTTTCCTATCCATTAGCAGTGGAATTTCCTTAGTACTTCTTAAAACAATGTGTTCTGGTAAAATCAAGATTTATCTGTTTTGCCTGAGCTCAGGTCTCCTTACAACCCCATGCTGTTACCCTGCCTTCCACAATTTGTGTATCATGTCTGAAATGCAGGCACACTGTTGTGACGGTTACA